GAACCAGCAGTTAGCGTAATGGCTATGTCGCTGGACTCCCACGTAGTCTACCGCGGTTTGCGTCCCGGACCCGGTGGCTTAAACTCACGCCAGGCGCATGTGCATGCGTGCCCAAGATCCCGAGAGGAGAATGGAGGAGAAGGGATTGCGGCGTGGCCATCCCCCCTCGGGGGGTGATTTCTCGCTTTCTGTCTCTCTGTCTCTCTCTGTCTTTCTGGTGAGTGCACGCGCCCTATAGCAAAAACCTCTCAAAAATAAATAAATAAAGCTCACTCTGGCTTCTGTGTGGTGAGTGCATAGGGGAGGACAAGATGGGGAAGATGAGGCTGAGCAGCCATTGACTACAATCCCTGTAAGAGGGGTGACGGGTTGCCCCGGCCTGAGGATGCAGAGAAGTGGGTGCATGCCAGATCCACCTTGGAGAGGGAGGACAGGACTTGGGGACACGTGAGGACAGCACAGACCCTGAAGACACCTGGGCTCTGGTTTTACTAAGGTGCTGGTTTTGCAAACGGAGGGATGAGGCCGGGGAGAATGCCGGTCCCTGAGTTTCACTGGGAAGAAAACGTGATGCTGGGAGCGAAGACACTCTTATCATTAATGTTCAAAGTATTTTGTAAGCAGCAGCTAATTAGTTCTCATAACTGTTGTTCAGAGTTCTTAATTACCCAAGTCCCATTTTACAGGTTCTGGGGAAGAGCACCTGTCAGGCAGTGGCCCGAGGCGGGAGGAAACTGCAGAACCAACAGCGATTTAGCTGCCAATTAGCTCCGGGAGCCCCGGCCCTGCCAATCTGTTAAGAGTCACTCTCTTGGTTGGGATGAGTATGTCAAATGGCATTTGGGGAAAGAAAGACATGGTCTTGGAGGCAATTGCCTGGGACCATGTGGCTTGGTCCCTACCCACTTTTATGACCTGGGAACACATACAAGAGGATTCCATCACACTCATGTAAAGATCAAATCATCGTACGAGTTATTTTGGTGCAGAATTTTGTTTTGAAATCCAGGGTCAGCAGGTGGTAAGAGTTAAGGCACTGGATCCTACATAGCTGACTCCATGGTTCTCGTCCTGGACCCGGCAGGTTGAAAATCACTCTGGGAGTATGCACGTGTGTGCCCAAAATTCTGAGAAGAAAATGGAAGAGAGGGATTTTTCTATTTTTATTTATTTATTTGGGGAGGTTTTTGCTATAGGACACGCACGCTTGCCAGAAAGACAGAGAGAGACAGAGAGATAGAAAGTGAGAAATCACCCCCCAGGGGGGATGGCCACGCTGTAATTCTCCTCTCGGGATCTTGGGCACACATGCACAAGCTCCTGAAGTGAGTTTAAGCCACCAGGTCCGGGACTCGAACCGCAGTCGGCTACATGGGAGTTCAGCAACATAGCCATTACACTAACTGCTGGTCCCAAGAGAGGGATTTTCTTGTGGCCATCTCCCCCTGGGGGCGAGTTCTCTCTCTCTCTCTCTTTCTATGGTGAGAAAGACATACACCCTATAGCAAAAACTTAAAAAAAAAATTTAGACTTTCCACATGACATATTTGCCATGAACTTTTTCCTTCACTTTGAAATGTCAAGGCTTAAATTCCATTTAAACTATTATTAAATTCTTTTCTTATTTTTTTCCTACTATCCATCACCACCACTTACTAAATGAATTTTCCC